ATGAAGCATAGTACACAAATTATCACCTTCTTATCTGCAAAAACCGGCCCATAGTTCAATGCCATTAGAGCCCCCTGAAACTAGACATATTCAAATTAGCTGAGTCGAGAGTTGCTTTTCCAAGTTACAATAAGCTAAGCTAAACACCGACGAAACGTTTTCATCGCTGGCACAGAATGTTTTGGCGAAACCGCAGTTCAACCACGCGATCACATATCTGTCAACACCATGCAGAAATCACACAATCACACACTTTCGCGGAACTGATAAGGCTATCCACAACCACGCATAGTCTTCTCACGTTTAACACAAGCGAAATATCATCGAATAACTCGGAAAAACTCAGCCCATTGGCAGATAAACACCTCTGGACTTTTCTCTTACACTCGTTTTATTCAAGTTCCCGGATGTAAAATCACACGGACCGCAGACCAGCATAGATTTCGCTTTCACACCAGAAGAGTCTTGGCCCGGGTCAAACTTCACCTGCAATCGGCTCTCACCTAATTCATTTGACTTCCTAAGAGCCTGCTCCCGAGGCCAGAGACTTAGTGGTCACCTTACAAAAGCAAACAAATTGTTTTTCTTCAGCTGACACAATCAGTAGATAGTTTTTAAGACGCGATCTTGACACCTGGCAAGCCAGCATGAAATGAAATCGTCTGTATGAAAATATAAATCTTATGAGAGTCTACCCGGCTCCGGAGGTCCCTTCTCGCGGAATAACTGAGATAGGATGAAATAAACTGTGCGCACTGTTTGGTCAAGCTCCCAACACGGACCTCTGGTGGTCACACGAGCAAGCAACTTCGTTTTCATGCGAGAAATCAGTTCAGAATCTGAATTGGTTGTCGCCGAGTGGTTACTCCCATGTCTGCAGCGAACTATGAGGAATAAGATGAAAATAATAATTAAAAAAACACCCAGTGGCAGCCAGGGTAGTAAAAGTCTGGATTTCAAAAAAGAAAAAAAGAAAAGGGAAGTCACAGACTTAACCAAACGTAAAGACCTGGACGCACATATTTACTTGACTAAAATCGGCGACAAAATTGTTGAGATATTGTACTCAAGTGGGGTCACTTCAGGGAACAAAACAATCCAAACCCCTCCCGCGTCCCCTCCATTCGAATTTGGGGTGTTTGTTGTTTTCTACAGATACTTTGAACAGCGGCACAACATTGCATAAAGGAGATGAGGGAAGGAAAGCTTTATTTTCCTTTTTGAAGTCGGTAAAACGTCAGAAAGCCCCTTTAGCTAGGGTAAAGTAGTCAACTAATTTTGTCGCCGACTGTAGCCACTCCATGGCCAGGAGTATGGATATCATGCCTGAATCTTTATTGAGTACTTTAAAAGAAGAGGGAGCGTTCACAAGTCAGTGCCCAGCAAAAATATTAATGGCTAACAATCATTCACTGGATCGGGAGCAGGTCTCAAGCAGTCACATACTCTATTTGCCATCTTTTTAAAGACCAAAAACGTGTCTTCGCATCGATTGAATTCCAAAAATAATTGTCCAGTTATGTTATTTTACAGACCTTAGGCATTGAATCTGTTCCTACTGATAGCAAAGGAGTGATTCCAAAAAGAATTTGGCCAGCTGTTCTAAGGTGCTGAGGTTTAATAATATGCCTGCAAAAATCACCAAAAAAATATTGTGGTTAGTGCTCCCCGATGAAATTTGTTTGATAACTTCTTCATAGCTCAACAGTAACATTTTGTGTCACGTGACTCAAGTTCAAGACACTAAGACTATAGCAGAGAATAGGCCACTTCTGAGTTCCAAAAACCCTCACTTTCAAAATGAGGCTAGGTACACAACCTTTCCTGTGAAAATGAGATTTATTTGCATGAGAATGAAAAATGATTTCCATATCAAAGGCTGAGCACGTAACCTCGTTTTGAAACAGACGCCCCGGGGAACTCGGAAATGGCCTAGTAACCTACAACAATATATCCTCGTGACATTATTGCACCTTTAATGCATTGTTAGTTGGTGTTTTTTGTTCCTCCAGCCCTATCAACGAGTCCAACCCCAAGTATAATTGCACCTTCGCAAGGTATTCACTAGTTAAGTTTAATTATTTTTCGTTGTACTCACTATCTATCTTCTTATTGGTTAAGAGACTACCGGTAGTAAATTTTGAAACGTATCATCGCAATCCACAGATTAGAGAGTTATCTGACCTCATTATACGTTGCGTTCGCAATGCATGATTTCCAAACCAAACGTGCAATGTCAAAATGTGTTCCTTGCCACGGTGTGTTTTTCAAAGTAGTTCTTAATAAAACAGTTAGTTGTTGGATTCGGTTTTTGTGATATTTGGAATAATCAAGGTCTCGGTAAATGGTATTGTCAGAGACCGATTCTACTGGATGTTACAAAAACTCATCCGATAATTCAGTTTATTATGTTGGTCTGGCTGAAACCGCATGAACAAATTAAAATAGTTGTTGAGGAAATAGTCAAACTAAATTGAGTAACACAAATAGTGTTAGAGCCTGTGGGTTTAGGTTGTGGCGAATAAATGAAACGGTTGGACAGACAAGCAAAGTTGCTGATGCCAAACTCAAATTTAATTGCAGCCCAGTCTACACGCTTTCCAACATCTTCTGTCTCGCTTCCTGTATACTATGGTAAGCATAAACAGCAAGGCTTTATAAACTTACTCATATCATACTCTTTGGGTGTTTAGGGTGCTTTTCTTTACTAGAATCCAACTCCGGATTTTAATCCGAAAACGGACGTTTCGCTTCTTTACTAAAATCCAAAAACGGATTATTGATCCAAATGATCCACAACGGAGGGGGATTCTCTGGATCATATCCAAAACCGGATACTTTGGATACACGATCCGCAGCGTTTATTTACTACGGATCCGAAAAGAGTAAATATTGCCAGCGGTAACTCGAAACAATTTAATACATACATCAGCTTTTTGACAAGAGTGCTCATCTTTACAGTCATTTTTGAACCAGAGTCATGGATTAAAGGATTGATTTTATCCGTTTTATCGGGATGGTAAAATCGCAATACGAACAGGACGTGCATTGATCTGATTACAAGGAAAAAACTGCTACACAACTTTACCGTCGCGTCTTGCAAGACTTTGCTTTCCAATACATATCTTATTTCAAGACTCGTCTTCATTTGGCCCGTCTAAAGCAGTATCCTAAAGCTAACGGTCCAGAAACAATGAAAGATCAGCAAACTTGCAACCTTGTCAGCAGCCGTGTGATTCTTTCTCCGGGACACCGTCTATATTGTGGATCGTTTCTATGGAAATGAATGAAAAATAATCCCTTTTTGGATACATCGTTTCTTTTCTCAACGAAAACTCCTAATGATCCGGATTTTTGATCTGATCTTGGATTTTAGTAAAGAAACGCACCATTAATTTCGCAAGTTTGGCAAAACACTTAAGACGGAATCCATCAGGAAATTGAGTAGTTTTAATTTTCAGTGGACAAATTTGACATTTATTTTCTCGGGCTCCCATGAGAAATAGCCCTTGGTGTTGTTACAGATAACTAGTTATATATAGCCCTTGAAAAATGTAAAAAAAAAAAAAAAGAATGCGGTGTTGTGTAAATTATTCTGTTACAAGGTTTTTGTCCACTGAAAATTTAAATTACTCAATTTCCTAATGGATTTGGTCTTAATGTATTTCACGGTTTTTTTCCCTGGCACGATTTCAATAGGAAATATGAAAAAAGGGATTAAATTTCGAGATTCAAGCGTTCTCAACTTTATTTTATTTTTCAAAAAGTCCGAACTTTTTAAAATTTCTACAATAACTGGCCAGGAGCAAGTTAATCGCATATTTTAAGATTCTCCACATCTAGAAATAGGCCATTTGCACTAAGAGGCATGTGACACCGTTTTTATGAAAATGAAAGTTATATGATTTCGCCTTCGAAAAACGATTAGTGGGTCATATCTTAAACAAAATAATGGTGATTTGGTTTTTCAAACCCGCACCATTTTCATAAAATGAATAAGTTCGTAAATGGTCACGTGACCAAAATGTGATTTTTAAAATTTTGAATTACCTCTCTCTGAACACAAATTTTGCACTTAAACTTCAAGGAAAATGTTGAAAAGATGATGTGATAACGTTTACAGCACATTTGAGCCTAACTATGAAACGTTGAACAAGATATAAGCAAGAAGTAGTTTTGGCCGCCATGTTGGAGGGCAAGAGCATGCCCTCCAACATGGCGGCCAATACAAATCATACTACTTTGCTGAAAAATCAAAGTGCCACAAAATATCTCCTTAAAATGCGTTTCCTCTCAAATTTCGGGTGTAAGATAATTTTTGTGCTCTAACAATTTTTGGCACCAGCAAGATTCCAACTCATTGTTTAAAGGAAGCATTGGTCACGTGACCTCTTAGTGCAAGTGGCCTATCTTACTCCATTTGTGAAATCCTTGTTTGAATTAACTCTAATTCACAACAAAGATACAAAATAGTTACAAAATTGAACCAGTTAATAATCTGAGAGCCTGGAACAGGCTTATGCATAACTTGCGGTAGTGGCAAATCTCTTTTAAATTTATTATTAGCTTTTCTCCAAGAGGAAATAATGGGACAGCAGGGGAAACGCCCTGTCTAGCCCTTGGGATATGGGTTATTTCACCAAAGTTATTTTTAGACCAATTAAACGCTTAAAATTAATCGGAAGTTGGTTTCTAGAGAGGTCCGCAAACTTTAATTAATTCAGTGTTGACAAGATAGATCAACAGTCACCATTACAATATTGTGTATTGTTTGATGATGTTACAAACAATCGATTAAAATGTGCTGACGTCTCAGGAATTAGACTTCTGTTTAATTGCAGTTACCTCTACAAATAACTTGAGGGAAATTCAAATATCCCGGCCAACGCCCCATGATTCCCTCTTCTCTCTTGCTTTTGTTGTGAAAAGAATCTCTTAAAGGGTGGCAATTTACTTCCCTAAGCCCAGTAAATAAAACGTAACTCTTTTATACATCAGCTTTGAGATTGGTTGGAGGAAGGTGGCCTGGAGAGGGGAGAGTGGAGATCTATTACAGAGGTAGCTGGGGAACTGTTTGTGACGATGGCTGGGATATAGATAATGCGCGAGTTGTCTGCCGTCAACTTGGGTATGCTTCTGCTCTCAGTGCTCCACACAGCGCCCGGTTCGGTCAAGGAAGTGGAAAGATTTGGCTGGACGATGTTCAGTGTCAGGGATATGAAAGTTCCATTGCGATTTGTAGGCACCGTCCATGGGGTGTTCATAACTGTGTACACTCTGAGGATGCATCAGTGATCTGCTCGAGTAAGTATGATATTCATAAATGGTGAACAACTTAATTGGCTATTCACCGAGCATGGGACGACCGAAGAGAAAACGCGGAAAACCCCAACTTTTATTTCGATACAGGGCGATAAAATTAGGCCTGTCCCGATTTTAGCATTTCTGGGAAACTCTGAGAAAAAAATATAAGTTTAGAGCACATACTAAGATTAAAAAGTGAAAAAAAAAATGCAATTTGTTTACAGTTGGAACAGGCCTAGAAAAAATCCAGCGCCCTAAGACACCAGAAGCCACGTCGGCCATATTAATTGCCTTCCGTTCATGACTTTAACTTCAGCAGAAAATCATTAGCTGATCTCTGATGAGGATCTGTTCTTGTTTTAACAGCCTATTCAATCCCTTTACCCTCTGCAAGTTCAGTCGCACCCACAGCAGGTAATTGCAAGTTTGTGCAATAAAACATGCTTCACAGGTATGACAAACTGTGTTCAGTGCGACGGTGTGTTTGTCGTCATTTTCTTCGAAACAATTTAGAATCTGAAAAAAAAAAACAATTATTGGATTCGGTTGTTGCAGTAAACGGAGTAATCAAGGAGTCGAAAATTGGTATTAGCCAAGGCTGATTATTCCGGATATTACAAAAACCGAATCGGGCAATAATGGTTTAGTAATCTGTTCCAAAAACGCACGAACAAATTAAAACAATAACTGTTAATAATAGTAAAAACTTTACTGGTAACACAAACACTGATAAAGCCGGTGGTTTTAGGTTTTGGTGTATAAATGTTAAGGGTTGGAATGGACAAACAAAGTTAATGATGCTAAACTCAAATGCAATGTTTTAAAATTTAATTGCAGCCTCTACACAATTTCCAGTATCTTCTGTTTCGCTTCCTGTATATGGTGGTAAGAATAAGCAAAACTGCTTTTATAATAACTTACTCGATAGGCTTCTACTTACTCTTATTGTAAAGTAGTTTTAAACGTTAACAAGACCGGAGAGATGAACTCGCGACAATTAAGAACAACCTCAACTAGTGACAATTCAATTCAATTTTATTATTCACACTTTATACATTATATATAGTAAGGTAGGAATACACTAATAAAGGAGAAGAAGAAGGAAAAAAAGAAAATTAATGGCTTGGGTAGAAGTGTACGGTGGTCAGAGGAGCTTAGCTTTCGAGCTAATCACCGCTATATTATGATTGGAAATACATAATAAATATGCGCTTGGTGCAATGGCAAGTATGGACGATTATGCCAGCAGTCAGGTTTTGTGAGACAGTCATATTACAATTGTCACCTTTGAGAGTTAACTAGAATTCGCTTATATTCTTTTTTGACCTCATGGTAGCTAAGTGTTTTTATCTTAGTAGGAATCTCTTGCCAAGTTTTGGTTAGGCAAACTTAAATGGGTGTTTGCCGTAATTTACCTTACACGTGGTACATGCATGAAAGTTAAGATTTGAGACATATCTGGTATTGTGTGAGTGAATATCAGACACCTTTACGAGGTAATATGAAACACTTCATCGATATTGGCTTCATTTTGTGAGATTTTGTGAGCTAGTCCCGAAGAGGGACCGTTAAGACACGAAGCATTTTCATTGTTAATATGTATCGCGCCATAAAGTGCTTCAAAAAATGGCTTGACTTGATTTGGTCGTGTATGTATAACTGAAACATTTGTAGAGATTACCGGTCTAGTAGCTTCAGTCATGGACGTCTTTATGGGACTTTCTGTCATTTGACCTATGGTGTATTAAGATGACAAGAAGCAAGAATGTAATTATGCATACATGTATACAACTTACAGTACTCATAGGTAGGCCCTTTTAAATTCATTATCACCTTTTCTCGTGAGTACAATCTCTTGAAGGGAGTCAATTTACTTCCATAAAATCAGTAATAAAACGCAACTTTTTATACGTCAGGTGTGAGATTGGTTGGAGGAAGTTGGTCCGGAGAGGGCAGAGTGGAGATCTATTACAGAGGTAGCTGGGGAACGGTTTGTGACGATGACTGGGATATAAGAGATGTGCGAGTTGTCTGTCGTCAACTAGGGTATCCTTCTGCTGTCAGTGCTCCACACAGAGCACGGTTTGGCCAAGGAAATGGAACGATTTGGCTGGACAATGTTCAGTGTCAGGGATATGAAAGTTCCATTGTGAATTGTAATCACTCTTCATGGGGTGTTCATAACTGTGGTCACAGTGAGGATGCATCTGTGGTCTGCTCGAGTAAGTATGATATTTATTTATGGTGAACAACTTAATTGGCTATTCACCGAATATGGAACGACCGAAGTAGTTAAAACTATGCCTGTCCTGATTGTGCTCTGAACCCTTTGAGCAATTTTTTTGTCGGTTCTAGCAACCTTGACAATTTTTAGCCGTTCTGGGCAATTTTGAGCAAAATATAAGTTTAGAGCACATATCAAGCACGAAAAAGTGAACAAAGGCACTTCGGCCTTCAGTTCCTCTACACTTTGACTTCAGTAGAGAATCATAAGCTGATCACTGATGAGGATTTGTTCTTGTTTTAACAGACTATTCAATCCCTTTACCCTCTGCAAGTTCAGTCTCACCTACAGCAGGTAATTGCGAGTTTGTGCAATAAAACATGCTTCACAGGTACATTATTTTAGAATTGCAGATCATTTTGTGAGAGGACACTTTTTGTAAGTGAAACCATGACGAAGAAAAAAAATTGGTGTTAAAATTATTCTTTGCTGAAATTTAAGCGAATAATAGGAAAACGGAAGCACAGGTAACTTTAACATGTGCAGTCGGCCTGTCTAACCTAAGATTATTAAATGTCAAACCAATGACTCTCCTGTTAACGTTTCATTTGTAACGTGATATTGGTCTATTTTCCCCATATGAACGCTGGATTTCATTTGCAGGTGCAGGTGAAGAATGAACCTGTAGGGATTTAAGACTTCAAGGGTTCGAGTGACCTTTTAGCTTAGTCACACTCCAAAATATGCTAATAACACGCTTGTGCTTATATTAAACTATATTTATTGTATTAAATACAAAATGTTAAATCAGTTCTTCTTTCTCTAATGTTTTCAGCAACTCCCACCGGTTGGCCTTTAGCATCGAGTGAGTAAAATCATTGTGGAGTCCCACTCGCGCGCGAGCAAGGCAAATTTGGTTATCAATCCAGTCCGAGAAGTTTTGGTAGTCACGTGACAGTACAGTCGTCAGTCCATCCACCCGTCCGCCTTCACCACAGGGCAACAATGTGAAATCTCACACTTTTTCGCTGGTGTGAGAGCCTGCAACCTGATATTTTACATCCGTGTTGTGGTCAATTGACTGCTGTCAAAACAGTATGCACTGACCAGTATCAGATGACCTTTTCGCGGGCAGAGGTGTGGACCCATCGAGGTTACGCGTTTTTATGAAGTTATCCGCTGACAAGTTACGAGTATTCAATTCCAAGTGCAAGAGCTTTGCCTTTAGCTTTGGTTAAATCTATATATTACAAATCATCAGTAACGCAGCCGAAAAGAAAACAATGTTGATTATACGGAGAAAGGATGCTTATACACTTGAGTATTCTTTCTTCTCCTTCATTAGCTATATAAAACAACTTTCTAACAAACAAAAATTTGATGAAGATTATTTCTTGCTGGAAATTAAGGAATAACACCCCCCCTGTCGCCAACGGCGACATTTATATGCCGGCTTATCTCAACACATTGCAATTAACAGTGGGGTTTTCTAATGCTCAACCACCAATTATTCTCCTGTTTACGTTTCTAACATAAAAGGTGCATCTTCCCTTCATAACAATAACAACGCTGGGTTTAATTTCACGCGGTTGCAGGCGAAGTAGCAAATAAAAGCGTCTGGATTTAAGGGTTAGAGCTCGAGTTACAGGACCTTTAGCTTAGCCAAATCCCAAAAACCTGCGAATTAATCTCTCCAATGCCCTGTTTTAAATTAGCAATTTTTAATTCAGCTCTACCTTATCTATTTTTTTTTTCAGGAATGCCCACCTTTTGGCCTTCACCATGGAGTAAGTAAAATCATATTAATTCAGTCAAGCGGAAAAGAAAAGAATGCTGATTAATGTAACATTCAGTTTGGTGAAGACAAGAGAGTATAATTGGACAGAGAAAGAATCTTAGGGCATTTAAGTAAAGTTATTTTTGGAGGTTGTAATTAAACGGAAGTATAATTCCTGAGACCTCGCACATTCTTGGCGAAGGTTATTCTTGCTGGCACTCAACGAATAACATCCCATGGTGACATTTAAATGTACTGTCGACCTCTCTAAACACATTGTAGCTAACAATTAGATGTTTTGATGTCAAACTTATTACTCTCCTATTGACGTTTCAAACATATCCCATTAACTTAGCTACACCCAAAACTCTGCGAATTAAACCTTGTGCTAATAACACGTTTGTGCTTATATTACAATTAGTTTATTGTATTAGCACAAAATTTTAATTCATTTCTACTTTTTCGAAATTTTTTTAGTAATCCCCACCACTCGGCGTTCACCAACGAGTAAGTATCTAAAACTCATACAAATTATTGGTCAAGCAGAAAAAAGAATAATGCTCTGACAGATCTAGAGTGCCTTGTTTAATATGTTAGGAATCTGAAGCAAATATGAAAACGAAGACAGCGAAAATGACGCAAAAAAAGGCTCCCTAGGATAAGCTAAAAGCACCCAAAGCTTAAGCTAAGAGTGTTACGTGAATCACTGAAAACTGGATTCTGACGTCATATGACGTTATAGAACCTTCACTTTGAATTTTGATCCCCTCAGTAACCCAGTTAACAACGACTTCAACATACTGAAATATTTATTTTAGCATTTTCTTCTTAAAATAATACATTTGAGAAATAAGTTATACCTGTAATTAAGGTGATAATTACACGAGACGATTTACAACGACGATTTCATGGATTCGTGATATTTTTTCTTGTTTATCACTCTTTTACTCGTAGGACCCAGGTTTGCCTTTACTATTTCATGCTTCCCCTCTGCCATGGTGGCTCACATATCACGTGACAGTTTGCCCTTGGGATCGGATCCCCGTCTACTTCATCTTAACGATCCCAGCTGTGGTGTGAATTATGTGACCAAGAAGAGTGTTATAATGAAGGCTCCTCTGAAAGGCTGCGGAACAGTTCGAAGGTAAAAATGAACTCTGAAAATACGGATCAATAACGTAATTATTGGTAATTAGTGAGCAACAAGTCCCCTTTTGATTTCAGCGCTGTTAAATATATTATATATCAAAAAAATCTTATTTTGTTAGATGTAGACATGACAGTGGACATGACAGTTTAATAACCTGCTACACAACTGGCAAAAACACTGTGAAGCTTCCGGAGATGTTTTGCCCTAAAATGAAGTTTATATTTTCCAATCGTTTTAGGAACTTTGATTTTACGTACGGGTCAGCCTAGTTTTGAGAGAAATACATTTGTTATTTTTAACACGGATTCCTGTTGACAACTATGGAGCTCTGAATTTTTATCTTGCATGTTTGACCAGGAACATCGGGTACAGAGTATTCTTCCATAACAAGGTGGTGGTACCCTTTGGATATGGAAACAAGAGATCTTTGTCCGTGTTTCCGTTCAAGTGTGTTTACAGTCATTTTGGCTTTCCTTGAGAAGTGTTTCAAGCTACTCCGTAATCACAACTAAGGTAAGAAATGATGGATGCACTGTGATTTTGCCAATTATTAAGTGTACTCTTTCAGTGTGCTCGGTTTTCACCTTAACTTGTTGAAGTGCAATTAATTCATAGAGAACAAAGGAAGTCAATTCCTTAAAGTAAGTTAACAAATGATAATCAATTTAGTTACCATAGCTTTAAATTTCTTTAAGGATTGTTACCACAATGGCTTCAGCGAAGCTACAGAGATTTTATCACCCTCTTGAAAGGAAAACCGCGCGAAAACGAAAACTCCCATTCTGCCATCCTCGATTTCGGGGGAAGGGGCTCTGTCACTCAGAGCCCATGTGGTCAGTTAATTAGATGACCTTAGTTTCGACGTTTTTAAAACGAACTCTTCTTTGCAGTCAAAGTATTTTAAACCCCTTTCGTCATTTATTATCAAGATGATTTTAGTCATTTTACTTTGCGAAAGTTACCCAACATATGATAAACACAATTTTCGACAACTTTCAAATCTGTTTTCCTTTTTTTTCACAGGTGTTTTCTCGGTATGATAACCATCAGCAGTTACAAAAGTAATTTAAGAGGCAAATTTTAGCAATACTTGTATCTATAAGGAGCTGTTTTAGTTTATGGTTGCAGTAATTATAATTTTGAAAAATACCAGAAATAACTAAAGTAATAAACATCATCTTAATGACGTGACCATTGCAGTTAGCCCAATGTTTGACCTTTGACCAGCCTGTTGGTGTACAAGGTTAAGGGGGAATGCTACACCCATCTTGCAGATTTCTCTGGTTTGAGAGACAAAATGAAAAATACGTGCTTTCCCACAATTACTTGTTTATGTATTAGACAGTCAATGAAATGCAAGCTAGAAAAATTAAAACCATAAGAGATGAATATGACTCCCTCCAAGAGCAAGAGCCAACGTTTGAATTTGAAGTCTAGATAGAATTATAACCATGAAAGAAGATTGCAAAACACAATTGAATCTCGAGCAATCACCAATCCCAAAACCTCTTGTAACGTAATATGTTTAATCCAAGAATCGTCTGAGATGGCAAACGGCAGATAGAGCCAACTTCTCGGTGATGACCGAAAAAACATTTACAAAGAAAGTAAAGAAGTCAAGGACCACAACGGCATGAGATTCCCCTAGCTCCCTCAAAAAAGCGCCCTCGATCTCGTCCGACAATACTCATCCTCGAGTTATTTGTTTTCTAATGCCAGTATTTCTTATAATCGTATCTGTCTTAAAGAAATAGTTTGGCTAACTAATAAATTTACTTAACCCTGGGACCAAGTAACTTTCTACTTCAAAAAGAGCATATTGTTTCACGCTGGATTACTGAACATTCTTCTTTATTGGGATGATAGTCTATTAAATTTTTCAGCCATTCAGAACACTTTAATTTGAAATTTTCCCGAAGAGCATATTATACTCCCAAACCCCGTGGTACCCTAAACCTTTACGCATTCGAATCAGCCCTTCTTTCACTTTAACCGGCCCCTCTCCTTACCCCTCCACGACCTACACAGAAGTTCTAACCTTGCTGCGCTCCATGGAATTGTGCAGACTATAACATATGCTGACGTCTCTAAGAAATGCAAAAACAGCGAAGCGCGAAGCCGTTTTTAAAAGAGTTTCATGTTATTGGACCCCCTCGAGGTTGAGATAAACATTCGCGAATTCTGTTGCTGTTTTAGTCAAAGTGCGTTTAAGCGTTCGTCGCCATTTTGAAAGTCACTGAAACAAGATTTGACGTCATACTGCTTGTGGGCTCAACTATCCGCCTTGATGAAGCCCCTCTCTCCTTGGTGGAACGATTTTTCTTGAGAATAAATTTACATAAAGAAATCCGGGTGACCTCTTCTCAACGCAGTCAACGAAAGGATCGTGAAATAAGGACTAAGAAATGCGCATACGCCTTTTTAAAGTCTATTGATGCTTCTATATGCAATAAAGGCAATTTTTAAGATCAAATACATCGAAGGGGATCAACTGAGCTACATGTACACTCGGCTAGGTTATATTCTCTTGAGTATTGGGCAATTTCTTGTTAGGGAAGAGTAGTTATTCTAAGAGTATAAATCTTTTTTAAAAAATTATCATTTCAAAATCTAAGATGTTCTGTTCAGATGTCTTAAGAGTCAATGTCAGTAAGAATCGGACATAATTACAAAATCACGGACACAGTTCAAAAATCGTTTTCGCTGATACTTTATACATTGATAGAGTAATGTATCGTAGTTAACAAAATAGGGCTATTTTTCTCTAATTTTTGCGTTTATAAGGGGAATTAAATAAAATCGGTTGGGTCCGTTTTGAACCAAAAGGGTAACGAACAACCTGCTTTATGGTGTGGACATCACTTAGCGTGCAGATCCACGTCGAGTGATAAATTCTGAATATTTTTAACCCAAACGATTCTCAAGGGAAACATCGTGAAGTGAAATTCGTGGCAAAGATGGTGGATAGCTCGGTTACTCAGCCAAAACATGGCGTTTTGCAAAGAATGACGGAAAACATCTCGACGCTCTGGCGGGGCCCTATGGCGGGGGAAAAAAAGGGAAGATGTTTTGCCCGTTTTTTGCCTTTTTTTTTTCCTACCGCAGAGCCGATCCTGATCCCATGTTAAGTTGTCTTGAGCTGATACAATGTCGTTAAGGGGTTTGAGGCAGGCTTATACCAACCAGGACGGGTGAGGACGAGATTAGGGAGTTTAAGCACAGCGTCGTCCCCAAAGCCTCCTGGGGGCCTGAGCACGAGGACCAGGATGCTCTGGGAGCACAGGATTTCAAGTCCTAGATTAATTAGGACTTCCGGTCATTTCCGATTCAAAAATAAGTTGGAGGATTCTCTTTTAAAAGCTTTGAAACACCTAAATTTACAGTCATTGACACTGCGGTAAGAGCAAGTGAATGCTGTTAGAAACGTTGTAGAAAATCAGAAATGGCCGGAAGACCTAAAATCTAGGACGTTAAATCCTGTTTCCCTAGAGTAACCCTAGAGCCTCCTGGCCCTCGTGCTCAGGCCCCCAGGAGGCTGCTTAGACGAGAATGGTTTAAGCACAGCTGGAGCAACCTCGTTCCCAGGGTCCTCTAAATTGCGACTCGAACTATCAGAGAGTTTAATCTGCTAAAATCAACGTCAAATTCATCCAGCACAATGACATTTGAAGGTTTTCATAGCATTAGCAAACCTCCTTTTCGGCTTGTTTCGGCTATTTCACGAAATGAGACCGGACTACTTCGTGATATCTTGAGATCACTTCCAGTTTAGTCTTTAGGACTAAATAGAGGATATTACGTGACCGCGAGGACACGAAATTTCTCTTCGAGTGTTGAAAAACATTTTACGAGTGAGCGCTCCTTTCGAACTATTTTATGATGAATTTAAAGTTACAAGATGCTCCGCAAAGACATTTTGTCTTTGTTGAGTGTTACGTAGTAAAATTACTTTCATGCTTTGCGTGACTTTCTCGAACGTTCTCTAGGGCATGTTTACATTTCAGCAAAAGTCAGCAGATTTGCATCAGTTACTGAAATCATAAAATATGTCGAAAAGCTACTACTATTCGCCTGTTTAGTATTTTCTAGAACCTTATGTCAAACGGTCTACAAGTTCCAAGCGACTTCTTTTGACGAACTAAGTTTTTTCCCACGAGCTTGACTGCTGTGTTTAGTCAAGTGTGACCAAGGTCGATTTTCAAGTTCTGTTTACAAGTTGGCGGTCTGAAGTTCAAGTGAGAGTTTGTTATTATTTGTAGAGGCTGTTTAGTTTTACTTAAGTTCAAGTCAAGTTTGTGTTGGCGGATGCTGTAAAGGCTATGTTCCTCTGGTATTAAACTTCCTCGTTGTAATCCGACATCCCTCCGTGCTGATAGTCAGTGAATAATTATCCTCAAAACAATTGAGTTTTAGCCAATTCCATGCTCAACGCAATTGACTCCTTACCCATGCCTTACATATCTTTAATCAGTACACGAGACTGCTATGCTGTTTTTGAAGCCTGATGTGACTAAGAAAGAGAGAGAATTATTTTTTCACTGTTTGTTTTGTTAGACTTGTTATTCACCGCCAGTAACCTCATATTTGACTTAGGTCTAAACGTTTAGACCCAAGTCAAATTTAGAAGGATTTGTATGGAGTCATCAGAGCATAACTGGGCTAATATCTCAAAGACAATTTGTCCCGAAATGCTCGTTTTTGGCAAATAGGCCTCTTGGACGTTGCTCTTTTCAGAATATCCTGACAAATCCCATAATTTCACAAATTAGCACCTCACTCTTACCATATTTCATTTCTTACTATTCCTCCGCATTTACAATTAATCAGTTCCACAACCACGACGCCGAAGTGTACGCTCCGTAGCGTCTTGTTTGTTTATATAATGCCGTATTACACGTCCTTATTTGCTATGGAAATTGATGCCAAACAAATATCCCAAGCATTAGCTAAGCATTACTTCAAACCATAGTTAGTAGAGGAGACTGATCAGGAAAGCCGCAAACAGCAAAGTTGAAAACAGTAGTTTATTTTGGAAGCTTCCCGACTATGGCGCGCGGTTTGTTTCAAAATCCTCATTGACAGTCAGTAGTGCGTACAACCGACAGAGTAGTGCGTACAACTGACAGAGTAATGTACACAACCAACAGAGTAGTGCGTACAACCGACAAAGTAATGTACATAACCGACAGAGTAATGTACATAACCGACAGAGTAGTGCGTACAATCGACAGAGTAAATCTTTGCAACCGACAGAGCAGTACGTACAACCGACAGAGTAGTACGACAGAGTAATGCACATAACCGACAGAGTAGAAATGCCGTTGCCAGCGACCAAGAGTTCATCTATTCTATCGAGGTATTTCTCCACAGAAATAATATCAATGTGCCAGCTTTTAAAGATAGAGTGCAAGTAATAGTTAAAGGTAAGCATCAAAAGGCTCCTTTNACGCAATTGACTCCTTACCCATGCCTTACATATCTTTAATCAGTACACGAGACTGCTATGCTGTTTTTGAAGCCTGATGTGACTAAGAAAGAGAGAGAATTATTTTTTCACTGTTTGTTTTGTTAGACTTGTTATTCACCGCCAGTAACCTCATATTTGACTTAGGTCTAAACGTTTAGACCCAAGTCAAATTTAGAAGGATTTGTATGGAGTCATCAGAGCATAACTGGGCTAATATCTCAAAGACAATTTGTCCCGAAATGCTCGTTTTTGGCAAATAGGCCTCTTGGACGTTGCTCTTTTCAGAATATCCTGACAAATCCCATAATTTCACAAATTAGCACCTCACTCTTACCATATTTCATTTCTTACTATTCCTCCGCATTTACAATTAATCAGTTCCACAACCACGACGCCGAAGTGTACGCTCCGTAGCGTCTTGTTTGTTTATATAATGCCGTATTACACGTCCTTATTTGCTATGGAAATTGATGCCAAACAAATATCCCAAGCATTAGCTAAGCATTACTTCAAACCATAGTTAGTAGAGGAGACTGATCAGGAAAGCCGCAAACAGCAAAGTTGAAAACAGTAGTTTATTTTGGAAGCTTCCCGACTATGGCGCGCGGTTTGTTTCAAAATCCTCATTGACAGTCAGTAGTGCGTACAACCGACAGAGTAGTGCGTACAACTGACAGAGTAATGTACACAACCAACAGAGTAGTGCGTACAACCGACAAAGTAATGTACATAACCGACAGAGTAATGTACATAACCGACAGAGTAGTGCGTACAATCGACAGAGTAAATCTTTGCAACCGACAGAGCAGTACGTACAACCGACAGAGTAGTACGACAGAGTAATGCACATAACCGACAGAGTAGAAATGCCGTTGCCAGCGACCAAGAGTTCATCTATTCTATCGAGGTATTTCTCCACAGAAATAATATCAATGTGCCAGCTTTTAAAGATAGAGTGCAAGTAATAGTTAAAGGTAAGCATCAAAAGGCTCCTTTTCTTCGCTTTCCACCGGTATTTCATTTTTTTCCAGAAAATCCATGCTCATTTACTAGGCACAGTGGAACCTCGATATAACGAAATCTCGCTATGGCAAACAAATTTTGCCAGTCACTTGGCACTTCGTTGTATCGAGGTTCCACTGTATTAAACTTAAAGCTCCCGTCTTAATACTCTGCCTTTTATAAAGTTCATTGTGCCTCTTCGATTCATTTCGCCTCTCTCGAGAAGGGCGTATCCCCGGCTCAAACTTTCGGTTACTCGGGTGGTCCTCTGTGTGAGAGGCAGCTATAAAACCAAGCATACTTAATACCTATGCCTTTTTCACCCCCTCTCAATCACGGCCCTCCTCTGGGATGGGTAACCTATGTTGATCGGTGCAGCCTCGGCTTTAAATAGGGAGTTTAAGATACGGAGACTACGGACTACGACTACGGTTAAGCATGCTACTGCGCATGATCAAAACCACGTGACTGTTCATTTTTCCCGCATAGTCCTGCGGCTACGGTGAGTTGTTGAGCTGTTTCGTGTAGTCGGGACTACGGAGAACATTTTGCTCCTATTTTGCCGTCTCGGTAATTCTAGAATCTCGTCTTTTCGTAAAAAAATTTTCAATTCACCTGCTTTAAGTGAGAGGGAAGCGAAATATGTAAGTTGTGTCCAATTTCTGCTCAGATTTACGCTTTTAATCCACTGTTGTGACTACATTTCGATACATTTTTATCTAGCTAAGCTCATATTTAAATGAGCTTAGCTTTTTATACGCAGAATTCAGATTGACGGCCTAGGAGAAGAGAAATCGTGCAGGTAATTTACTTCTCTTCGCACTTGAAAAGTTTCAATGTTTGTCCAAACTGATTAGCGCGTCTTTCTACTTGTGTAACCTTTGTTTATGCGAGTTTTTGTATCGCGCCATTTGCTGAATGGAAATGATGTCAATCAAAACTAGGCATTTCAATACTTCAAACTACATCAGATCAGTAGTCGGAGAAGTCCATCTTCTAAATCTAACAAATGAGCTATTACTATTTCTGTCTATTTCTTTAATATTTGACATAAGTATTCATGGGCGAAAAAATAAAACCTGTGTAACCAAAGCTTTGTTTACCAATTTCACCCGACGTAATTGCTTCCTTCTAGTATGGAAGCATTTGGTCATTGTTCTAAAGAAAAGATCACATGCAAAACTGACTTGCATTTTTGTGAACAGTGATGAAAACAAGAAAATCTTTGCGTGTTGTTTCCCTCTCCGCCTCTTCTCTCGTAGTCTACTGTCTGTAGTGCAATCTTAACGTTCTATATTTGCACGACTCAACCCAGTGCTACAAACAAAGGACAACGCTCGTCCAGCCGTAGTTCGTAGTCCGTAGTCTCCGTATCTTAAACTCTCTAATAAGGCAGTCATTCGAAAAAGCGCGGCAGCGCTCATAAAGTACTGTTTTCGGAGGATTATTTACAGGCGGCGCTGTATATAGGACTACTCAGTTTGAATACCAAACAATAACTAATAGTTATTTCTTTTCCTTTGTTCAAAATGATAAGAACAGCATTAAAAAATGATCGAAAATTTTTAATTTCTAATATAATTAACAATTATTCGCCGAAGGCGAAGTTAATAATGTTGAATAATCCCCGAAATTAAGAGTAATCCCCGAGTAAAAATTCTGCCTATTTTAGCTTCACCGACTGTTATTTGGAAAATTGGTGCTAGCCTGCGTAGCAGGCGTTGAAAGGGATAGGGGATAGGGACGCAGCCGTTAGCCTGCCACGCAGGCTAATTGGTGCCTAAAACAGGCACGTTGATTTTCAGTTGTGACTGATTTATTTCTTTGATTCTTTCTTTGTATTTTACTAAATTCCGCCACATTTTGCCATACCACAAGTCTTAACACTTCATGCTATAGCGAAAACTCATTCCGTTTTACTTTTCAGTAATTTATAATAATTCCAGTGCCCCTGTAATTGACGCTCGAGTATGGTCGTCCGTTTTGATTTATTTCGGCTCTATTTGAAGGCTTTTCGTGCCACACTAGTAACAAGCACTTACGAGCTGAAGGTCTGATATCAATATTCAGGACACCGAGATAACTGACCCTTTAACAGTGAAATATATAGCTATCTAACTTTGATCTAATAACCACATGAATTTACTCACGTCTCACCACTACGAATTGCGAAACATTTGCTCCGGGTCATAAACACTTAGTTCTTCATCAAAGCAAGGAAAAAATTCAGAGATAGTAACCAATACTGTGTAAAAGCACTTTGTACGAAAGTGCCTGTAAGACAACAAGGATACTAATTCGGTAATGATAAAAAATTTTTATCAGTTAAAACAAAAGAATATTTTTCATAAAATAGCTGTGTACCCTTTGAAGTACCGATTCTGGTACGTTTTCAGAACGTAGTTGACAGGTTTTTCGGGCGACCCTAGCTGGAAAAGCCTTTGCATGCAGGTTGAGTGTCTGATATCACACCGTAGCAATGTTCACTTAACCAAGACGTTCCTTGATGATTATATTCGTCATTTCCGTACAGAAAAAAAAAACAGGTTCCATCAATGCTTGCCAAGAACAGCTAAGCGATAAACCCACTTACACCTTCAGCAGAGTATTGAATCACTAGAAGCTCTCCGGTAGACATATATGATTGCACCTTAAGCCTGGAAGTATATCATTCTGAACGTGCACGGCCGCTTTCATGATCAGTCAGCTTAGAATGATGAGCCTACAAGTTTTTCTGCTACTGCTTTTATCCCAGTGGGCTGCCTTATTCCAAGGTAAATGCTTCTATATTGTGTTGAAAATTGTTTTTCTTCAGCTGATCATATATCAAAGTATGTTGTTTTTGAGACGCGATCTTGAAAGGTTGGTAAGCAAGCGTGAAATTCATTAACGCGTTTGTATGAGAATCCTAATACTTTTTGTGAAAGTCTACTCTGGCTCCAGAGGTCCGTTCTCGGAATAACGAGGATGGAATAAACCGTGCTCACGGTTAACGGACCTTTGGTCACGAAACAAGTAGCCTCACTTCCATGCGAGAAATCAGCTCAGAATCCAGCCAAACCTGGGTGTCGCCGCGAACTATCAGGAATTAGGTTAGAAGCAAAAGAATCTAGCCCCCATGGTAGTGAAAATCTGGCTAAAAAAAAAAGGAAATCGCAGCCTTAAACTAATGAAAAAGGATTTTTCAGACAAAATTTGAGGGCCGAACTTGCGCTAGAATCGCTTCTTTAAATATTTTTGAAAAAATAAAAAGTTAAAACGTTATCTGAGTTCACTCAGGTGGTCTAAAACCACAGGAACAAAGAAAAAAGGGCTGATAGTAGTAAATCTTAATTGGGTAACACAAACACTGTTAGAGCCGGTAGTGTGGGTTTCTGTGTGTTTGTGTGTATACAGTCTGATATGCTGCCATATTGTACCCTGCACAATAAACTTATTTAAATTATCTTACTGAATCTGGCTTCTTGGCATTTTTAACTTACTAGTTATTTCAGGAAGTCAGTACCCCTTTTAGTTAATTGATTAATTTAACAGCTTGTAAATAACTATAATTTTCTGCTTTGGGAACAATAAATTGTTGTTGTTGTAGTTTTAGGTTGTCGCGCATAAATATTAACGGTTAGAAAGGCAAGCAAAATTAATAATGCTAGACTCAAATGTGTTGTTTTAAATTTTCTTGCAGCCTCTACACAATTTCCAACATCTTCTGTTTCGCCTCCTGTATATGGTAAGAATAAAGAGCGAGGCTTTCTAACGGTTTACGAAGAGATGAGCTCGCGACAAATTAGAGAAACCCCGGCTAGTGACCGGAGAGGGATTTGAATCTGGGGACACCGAGATGAAATCCAGCCTTACTAGATGCTAAGCATATTTATGCGTATTCTCAGCACATACATTAGTGTTTGTCCCGTCTAAAATTTTGCAAAACCTTAATGTTTTTTATCTCTCCTGGGTATTACAGTCACCCCAAGCCGAGAAGTTGAAAACAATGCTTATGCAAAATTTTGGGCGGCGGAGACATGGGAGATGTGCAAGCGGCGAATAACTATGTTTAAAGCAAAAATATCAACTCATGGCTACTAGTTTGCAATTTAAAACAATAAAACTCATGCAAAGGCCAATTAAAAGCCTTTATATCACGTCGAGCAGTACGTTTATGGTCCCTGGAAGCCCTGACGAAGTCCAAATTTAAAATGACGCAAATTTTAGGACATATTCAGTAATCTGACTTCGTGAAGTTTCAAACCGGCGTCATTTCAGTCTAGAATTTTTTTTAGTTAAGTGAACTCCAGTGAAAGAGTGCCTGGTTAAGGCTTACATAAGAACTTAAATATTTGACAAAACACTAGTTATTTTGAGGTCCGATAAACGACAGGATTTCGCATATAGACAACAAAGTGGATGAAGCATAGTACACAGGTAATACCACACAGGTAAACGCTAGTCACACACCTTCTTATCTGCAAAAACCGGCCTATGGTTCAGTGCCATTACAGCCCGCTGAAACTAGAGCTATTCAATTTTCCTGAGTCGAGAGTTGCTTTTCAAAGGTACAATAAGCTAAGCTAAACACCGAAGAAACAATATTAATGGCTGGCACAGAATATTTTCGCCAAACCGCAGTTCAACCACGCGATCACATACCTGTCAACACCATGCGGAAATCACACAATCACACACTTTCGCGGAACTGATAAGGCTATCCAAAACCACGCATAATCTTCTCACGTTTAACACAAGCGAAATATCATCGAATAACTCGGAAAAACTCAGCCCATTGGTAGATAAACACCTCTGGACTTCTCTCTTACACTCGTCTTATTCAAGTTCCCGCATGTAAAATCACACGGACCGCAGACCAGCATAGATTTCGCTTTCACACCAGAAAAGTCTTGGGCCGGGTCAAAGTTCACCTGCAATCGCGCTCACACCTAATTCATTTGACTCCTAAGAGCCTGCTCCCGAGGCCAAAGATTTAGTGGCCGCCTTAGAAAAGCAAACAAATTGTTTTCTTCAGCTGACACAATCAGTATATAGTTTTTTTAAGAGGGGATCTTGACAGGTTGGCAAGCAAGCGTGAAATGAAATCGTCTGTATGAAAATATAAATCTTATGAAAATGTACCCTGGCTCTGGAGGTCCGTTCTCTTGGAATAACTAGATAGGGTGAAATAAACCGTGCGCACGGTTTGGTCGAGCTCCCGAGACGGACCTCTGGTGGTCACACGAGCAAGCAATCAGTTCAGAATCTGAATTGGTTGTCGCCGATTGGTCACTCCCATGTCTGCAGCGAACTATCAGAGATAAGATGAAAATAATAATTAAAAAACACCCCGTAGCAGCCAGGGTAGTAAAAGTCTGGATTTGAAAAAAAAAAAAGAAAAAGGACGTCACAGACTTAACCAGATATAAAGACCTGGACGCACACATTTACTTGACTAAAATCGGCGACAAAATTGTTGAGATATTGCACTCAAATGGAGTCACTTCAGGGAACAAAACAATCCAAACCCCTCCCACCCCAAATTTGGGGTGTTTGGTGTTTTCTACAGATACTTCGAACAGCGACACAACCTGGCATAGAGAGGATGAGGGAAGGAAACCTTTATTTTCCTTTTTGAAGTCGGTAAAACGTCAGAATGCCCCTTTAGCTAGGGTAAAGTGGTCAACTAATTTTGTCGCCGACTGTAGCCACTCCATGGCCAGGAGAACGGATATCATGCTTGAATCTTTATTGAGTACTTTAAAAGAAGAGGGAGCGTTCACAAGTCAGTGCCCAGCAAAAATATTAATGGCTAACAATCATTCACTCGATCGGGAGCAGGTCTCAATCAGTCACATACTCTATTTGCCATCTTTTTAAAGAGCAAAAACGTGTCTTCGCATCGATTGAATTCCAAAAATAATTGTCCAGTTATGTTATTTTACAGACCTTAGGCGTTGAATCTGTTCCTACTGATAGCAAAGGAGTGATTCCAAAAAGAATTTGGCCAGCTATTCTAAGGTGCTGAGGTTTAATAATATGCCTGCAAAAATCACCAAAAAAAATATTGTGGTTAGTGCTCCCGATGAAATTTGTTTGATAACTTCTTCATAGCTCAACAGTAACATTTTGTGTCACGTGACTCAAGATCAAGACACTAAGACTATAGCAGGGAATAGGCCACTTCCGAGTTCCAAAAACCCTCACTTTCAAAATGAGGCTCGGTGCACAGCCTTTCTTGTGAAAAGAGTTTTATTTGCATGAGAATGAAAAATGATTTCCGTATCAAAGGCTGAGCACGTAACCTCGTTTTGAAACAGAGGCCCCGAGGAACTCGGAAATGGCCTGTTAACCTACAACAATATATCCTCGTGACATTATTGCACCTTTAATGCATTGTTAGTTGGTGTTTTTTGTTCCTCCAGCCCTATCAACGAGTCCAACCCCTAGTATAATTACACCTTTGCCAGGTATTCACTAGTTAAGTTTACTTATTTTTCATTGCACTCACTGCCTATCTTCTCATTGGCTAAGAGACTACCGTTAGTTAATTTTGAAACTTATCATCGCAGTCCACAGATTAGTGAGTTATCTGGCCTCATTTGTATACACTGTGCTCGCAATGCATGATTTCCAAACCAAACGTGCAATGTCAAAATGTGCTTCGTGCCACGGTGTGTTTTTCAAAACAGTTAGTTGTTGGATTCGGTTTGTGTGATATTTGGAATAATCAAGGTCTCGGTAAATGGTATTATCCGAGGCCGATTATTCTCACTACAAAAACTCATCCAATAATTCAGTTTATTATGTTGGTCTGGCTGAAACTGCGTGAACAAATAAATTAAGAATAGTTGTTAAGGAAATAGTCAAACTAAATTGAGTAACACAAACAGTGTTAGATACTGTGGGTTTAGGTTGTGGCGAATAAATGATAACTGTTACACAGACAAGCAAAGTTGCTGATGCCAAACTCAAATGCATTGATTTAAATTTAATTGCAGCCCAGTCTACACGCTTTCCAACATCTTCTGTCTCGCTTCGAGAGTGTTTAGGGTGCGTTTCTTCACTAAAATCCGACTCCGGATTTTAACCCGAAAACGGATGTTTCGTTTCTTTACTAAAATCCAAAAACGGATTATTGATCCAAATGATCCACAACGGAGGGGGATTCTTTGGATCATATCCAAAACCGGATACTTTGGATACACGATCCGAAGCGTTTCTTTACTACGGATCCGAAAAGAGTAAACAGTATTGCCAGCGGTAACTCGAAACAATTTAATACATACATGAGCTTTTTTACAAGACTGGTTATCTTTACGGCCATTTTTGAACGGGAGTGATGGATTAAACGATTGATTTTATCCGTTCTATTGGGCTGGTAAAATCGCAATACGAACAGGACCAGCATTGTTCTGGTGACAAGGAAAAAACTGCTACACAACTTCACCGTCGCGTCTTGCAAGACATACCTTATTTCAAGACTCGTCTTCATTTGGCCCGTCTAAACCTAAAGCTAACCATCCAGAAACAATGAAGAATCAGCAAACTTGCTACCTTGTCAGCAGCCGTAGTATTCTTTCTCCGGGACACCGTCGATATTGATATTGTGGGTCGTTTCTATGGAAATGAATAAAAAATAATCCCTTTCTGGATACATCGTTTCTTTTCTCTACGAAAACTCCTAATGATCCGGATTTTTGATCTGATCAGTGCATTTTAGTAAAGAAACGCACCCTTAATTTCGCGAGTTTGGCAAAACATTTAAGACGGAATCCCATGATCAGGAAGGACAAATTTGACATTGATTTAATTTTCTCGAGCTCCCATGAGAAGTAGCCCTTGGTGTTATTACAGATAACTAGTTATATCTATAGCCTTTGAAAAATGTAAACAAAAGAATGCGATATTGTGTAAATTATTCTGGTACAAGGTTTTTTCCCACTGAAAATAAAAATTACTCAATTTCCTAATAGATTTGGTCTTAATGTATTTCACGGTTTTTTTCCATGGCGCGATTTCAATAGGAAATATGAAGAAAGGGATTAAATTTCGAGATTCAAGCGTTCTCAACTTTATTTTATTTTTCAAAAAGTCCGAACTTTTTAAAATTTCTACAGTAACTGGAGCAAGTTAATCGCATATTTTAAGACTCTCCATATCTAGATTGTTACTCCATTTGTGAAATCCTTGCTTGAATTAACTCTATTTCACAACAAAGATACAAAATAGTTACAAAATTGAACTTACAAGTAATATGAACCAGTTAACAATCTGAGAGCCTGGAGCAGGCTAGTGCATAAATTGCGGTAGTGGCAAATCTCTTTTAAATTTATTATTAGCTTTTCTCCACGAGGAAATAATGGGACAGGAGGGTAAACGCCCGGTCTAGCCCTTAGGATATGGGTTATTTCACCAAAGTTATATAGACCAGATAAACGCTTGAAATTAATCGGAAGTTGGTTTCTAGAGAGGTCCGCAAACTTTAATTAAATCAGTGTTGTCAAGAGAGAATTCAACAGTCGCCATTACAATATTGTGTATTGTTTGCTTTGAGGCAGTCTCGTGTGGCTTGATGATGTTACAAACAATCGATTAAAATGTGCGAACGTCTCAGGAATTAAACTTCTGTTTAATTGCAGTTACCTCTAAAAATAACTTGAGTGAAATTCAAATATCCCGGCCAACGCCCCATGATTCCCCCTTCTCTCTTGCTTCTGTTGTGAATAGAATCTCTTAAAGGGTGGCAATTTCCTTCCCTAAACTCAGTAATATAACTAAAATGTAACTCTTTTTTACGTCAGCTTTGAGATTGGTTGGAGGAAGGTGGCCTGGAGAGGGTAGAGTGGAGATCTATTACCGAGGTAGCTGGGGAACTGTTTGTGACGATTTGTGGGATATAAATGATGCGCGAGTTGTGTGTCGTCAACTTGGGTATCCTTCTGCTGTCAGTGCTCCACACAGCGCCCGGTTCGGTCAAGGAAGTGGAAAGATTTGGCTGGACGATGTTCAGTGTCAGGGAAATGAAAGTTCCATTGGGATTTGTAGGCACCTTCCATGGGGTGTTCATAACTGTTTTCACCGTGAGGATGCATCAGTGATCTGTGCGAGTAAGTATGATATTTATAAATGGTGAGCAACTTAATTGGCTATGAATTCACCGAGCATGGGGACGACCGAAGAAATAAAACGCGGAAAACCCCAACTTTTATGTCGATCCAGGACGATAAAATTAGGCCTGTCCCGATTTTGCTAGGCAACTTTTGACCAACTTTCAGGGTTTGGAGCAACTTTTTGCGGTTCTAATAACCTCCAGCAATTTTAGCATTTCTGGGCAATTTTGAGCAAAATATAAGTTTAGAGCACATAAACTTGAACTTGAACTTGAACTTGAACTTTATTTTTATTTAAACACGGTAAATCTATCAGATAAAATAATAATAATAAAAAATTACAATCTACTTTAATCTATGTAAACATGATCTAAAAATTTAAATAGTAAAGATAGGGAAAATAAAGAAATTCTGCTTTACATAGATGTCGTGTGCGTTTTATCGATTCAGTCAAAGAAATCGAGACAACCATTTCGAAAAGATTTAAGTGATTTTGCTTGCCGCAATTCAGGGGACAAGCTGTTCCAGATAACCGCACCATTATAGCTAAAGCTATTTTTCAA